CCCCCCCCGTGCAGAGCAAAGAAAATAGTGAAGGAAATCAAAGGTGGGTGGAACTAAGTAGTCCAAAGTACTAAGCCCTAGCCCCCGTACTTCGAGACCAGAAGGACAAGACGGTGCCCAGCTACCACTGCCTTCTGCTTTGAAAGGGGTCAATAGGAGGTCCTGGATAGGGGGGTGGGGTGGGAAATATGGACCCAATCGATTAACCCATCAAATAAAAATTTAAAAAGCAGACACCAGGCTTGCTGGTTTGATAAAGACTGGCGGAACCCCCCCGAGGCCATGACCCTTGTCCAGGCTCAACTTTAAGCCAAACAATAGGCAGACCTTTAAGGTAAACAGAAAGACCTGGGAGGCCTACAGTTCTTGGAAGGGTCGACCATTTTAGATCCGAAGGGCAACATTTGCCCAGGGACAAGCTCAGAGACCCAAAAGGGCTCAGTGAAGGAAGAGGCGGGGAGAGCACCCTTAATGTCATCTATCAGAATGTCTGTGAATTGTTGAGAACCAATTTGCTCTGTCAGTTGACACCCGAATCATAATAAAAACTTTTTAAAAAAACAACTCGAAGGGATGCAGGTTAGAGATTGCCTCTGGGCTCTCCTTATCCCTCCCTAAGACTCGGAAGCAGCCCAGATGGTGCAGTGATTGGGCCCTGGGCTGCTGAGATGGCTGAGTCGATCCACTCAGTGACAGTGGGTTGATAGTCTAGTCAGACTGGCCGTCACACCTCTGAGCTGGAGTTTGTGATTTGGGTGTAAATTGACAGAGCAAATTGGAGGTTCCACTAGGCGATGTCATTAGAAGACGTGGTGCGGGCCCTAGCAGGAGCTGTCCTGTGGTTGCTGTGTTGGGAAGAGCACTGTTCCAGGAGTCAGAGAGGCTGGGGCAGGCTCACCAGAACTGGGGTTGCTCATCAGATCTGCCAGGATCGAGGGGTGCACACAGTTCTCTTGGAAGCCGAATTCCTTCAGCAATGTTAGCTGAGGAAGGAGCTTTAGCTAAGAAGGCCCGGTGGGTTAAGTGCTTTCTAAACTGCTAGCCTCA